GTGGTAGTAGTAGTAGTATTAGTAGTAGTAGTAGTCGTAGTAGTAGTAGTAGTAGTAGTAGTAGTAGTAGTAGTAGTAGTAGTAGTAGTAGTGGTAATGGTAGTAGTAGTAGTAGTAGTAGTAGTAGTAGTAGTAGTAGTAGTCGTAGTAGTAGTAGTAGTAGTAGTAGTAGTAGTAGTAGTAGTAGTAGTAGTAGTAGTAGTAGTAGTAGTAGTAGTAGTAGTAGTAGTAGTAGTGGTAATTAGTAGTAGTAGTAGTAGGTAACGCCGTGCCCGTCCGGGCCGTGTAGTAGTGAACCGCTGTTCTGAAGATGTGTCGCTGTCTTTCTCTTTCGTTGGCACTGAAGTATATGTTTTAGAGGTTTATGTGGCCAATGTTGGATCCCAGAATATAAATTTACCTTAAGACTTTGGCACTCGGGTTTCGGTTTTAAGTTGCCCCCCGTCCATACAATCGAGCATGATGGCAGCGAACGCCGTCTCCGTCCGGGCCCGCCGTGTTCGATTCCGAAGATATTGTATTGCTATGCGTTGGGTTGCTTTGCATTATTTTGCATTGCTTGCATTTGGGTTGCTCAATAGATGTCTGCTGAGTTTGCATTGGGAGCTTACATCATGATGACGATGTTGAAGAAGGTGATGATAATACTGATGATGATGACGATGATGATGGTGGTGATGGTGACAATTAGTATGATGACGATGATGCGGATGATGATGATGATGATGACGATGCTGACGATGATGATGAGTCTGATGTATGACGCTGATGATGATGATGTTGATTACGACGATGATGACGATGATGATGATGGTGGCGATGATGATGATTATGATGGTGATGATGATGCTGGTAATGATTGTCATGATGCTGGTGATGATCACGATTCATGACGATGATGGTGGTGACGATGATGTTGACGACGATGACGCAGATGATGTTGATGATGATCATTATGATGATGATGTTTTTGATGATTTTGATGATGACTATGATGATGATGGTGATAATCATGACGGGGATTATGCACATGATAACGTACTCAATTCGGCCGCGCGGATCAATGCTCGTCCCTGGGTGCTTGCATTCGGCATGCACGCCCCAGGGCCCCAGGGCTTATACAGGGCCCGAGCCCCGGGCCCTCGGGCCCCCGGGCCCCGAGGGCCCGAGGCCCCGATTCCCTTAGGATTCCATCGGGATTCCGAGGCGCTTATACACTTCAGGGATTCCTTAGGCGCGCAAGCGCAAACCCGGACGGGAACGGCGCGCGGTCTGCGCAAGGATTCATCAGGATTCGCTGAGGATTCGGTCGGATTCCTTGGGATTCCTTCGGATTCGCTAGGTTTCCTCAGGAGTCCCTTAGGATTCGCTGGCACTCCTTCAGGATTCCCTTAGGACTCCCTCAGGATTCCTAGGCGCTCATGCACATCAGGGGTTCCTGAGGCGCGCAAGCGCGAACCCGGACAGGCACGGCGTGCAGTCTGCGCAAGGATTCCTTCAGGATTCCATTGGGATTTGCTGAGGATTCGGTGGGATTCCTTAGGATTCCTTAGGGGTCCTTCGGATTCATTAGCATTCCTTAGCATTCCCTGCGGATTCGCTCGCATCTCATGATTCCCTTGGGATTCCCTCAGGATTCCTAGACGCCCATGCACTTCGGGGATTCCTGAGGCGCGCAAGCGCGAACCCGGACGGGAACGGCGTGCGGTCTGCGCAAGGTTTCTTTAGGATTCCATTGGGATTTGCGGAGGATTCGGTCGGATTCCTCAGGATTCCTTAGGGTTCCCTTGGGATTCGCTCGGTTTCCTTAGGATTCCCTTCGGATTCGCGAGCATCCTTGGGATTCCATACGGATTCCTGGGCGCTCATGCATGTCAGGGATTCCTGAGGCGCGCAAGCGCGAACCCGGACGGGAACGGCCTGCGGTCTGCGCAAGGATTCTTTAGGATTCCATTCGGGTTCGCTGAGGATTCGGTAGGATTCCTTAGGATTCCTTAGGGTTCCTTCGGATTCGCTAGCATTCCTCAGCATTCCCCTAGGATTCGCTAGCATGTCAAGATTCCCTTAGGATTTCCTCAGGATTCTTAGGCGCTCATGCACTTCAGGGATTCCTGAGGCGCACAAGCGCAAACCTGGGCGGGAACGGCGTGCGGTCTGCGCAAGGATTCCTTCGGATTCCATTGGGATTCGCTGAGGATTCGGTAGGATTCCTCAGGATTCCTTAGGGTTCCCTCGGATTCGCTAGGTTTCCTCAGGAGGCCCTCAGGATTCGCTAGCATTCCTTCAGGATTCCCTTCGGATCCCCTCCGGATTCCTAGGCGCTCATGCACTTCAGGGATTCCTGAGGCGCGCAAGCGCGAACCCGGACAGGAACGGCGTGCGGTCTGCGCAAGGATTCCATTCGGATTCGCTGAGGATTCGGTAGGATTCTTTAGGATTCCTCAGGGTTCCTTCGGATTAGCTAGCATTCCTTAGCATTCCCTTAGGATTCGCTAGCATTTCAGGATTCCCTTAGGGTTCCGTCAGGATTCTTATGCGCTCGTGCACTTCAGGGATTCCTGAGGCGCGCAAGCGCGAAACCGAACGGGAAAGGCGTGCGGTCTGCGCAGGGATTCTTTAGGATTCCATTGGGGTTCGCTGAGGATTCGGTAGGATTCCTTAGGATTCCTTAGGGTTCCTTCGGATTCTCTAGCATTCCTTAGCATTCCCTTAGGATTCGCTAGCATCTCAGGATTCCCTTGATTCCTAGGCGCTCATGCACTTCAAGGATTCCTGAGGCGCGCAAGCGCGAACCCGGACGGGAACGGCGTGCGGTCTGCGCAAGGATTCTTTAGGATTCCATTTGGATTCGCTGGGGATTCCTCAGGATTCCTTAGGGTTCCTTCGGATTCGCTAGGTTTCCTCAGGATTCCCTTCGGATTCGCTAGCATTCCTTCAGGATTCTCTTAGGATTCCCTCAGGATTCCTAGGCGCTCATGCGCTTCAGGGATTCCTGAAGCGCGCAAGTGCGAACCCGGACAGGAACGGCGTGCGGTCTGCGCGAGGATTCTTTAGGATTCCATTCGGATTCGCTGAGGATTCGGTCGGATTCCTTAGGATTCCTTTTAGGTTCCTTCGGATTCATTCGCATTCCTTAGCATTCCCTTAGGGTTCGCTAGCATTTCAGGATCCCCTTAGGATTTCCTCAGGATTCTTATGCGCTCATGCACTTCCGGGATTCCTGAGGCGCGCAAGCGCGAACCCGGACGGGAACGGCGTGCGGTCTGCGCAAGGATTCCTTCGGATTCCACTCGGATTTGCTGAGGATTCGGTCGGATTCCGTAGGATTCCTCAGGGTTCCTTCGGATTCGCTAGGTTTCCTTAGGATTCCCTTCAGATTCGCTAGCATTCCTGCAGGATTCCCGTAGGATTCCGTCAGGATTCTTAGGCGCTTATGCACTTCAGGGATTCCTGAGGTGCGCAAGCGCGAACCCGGACGGGAACGGCGTGCGGTCTGCGCAAGGTTTTCTTTCGGATTCCATTCGGGTTCGCTGAGGATTCGGTAGGATTCCTTAGGATTCCTTAGGGTTCCTTCGGATTCGCTAGCATTCCTTAGCATTCCCTGCGGATTCGCTAGCATTGCAGGATTCCCTTAAGGATTCCCTAGGGATTCCTAGGCGCTCGTGCACTTCAGGGATTCCTGAGGCGCGCAAGCGCGAACCCGGACGGGAACGATGTGCGGTCTGCGCAAGGATTCCTTCGAATTCCATTAGGATTCGCTGAGGATTTGGTAGGATTCCTTTGGATTCCTTAGCATTCCCTTCGGATTCGCTAGGTTTCTACCGGATTCCCTTCGGATTCGCAAGCGCGAGCCTGGACGGGCACGGCGTGGGGCGTGGGGCCCGGGCGGGCACGGCGCACGGCGCGGGG